GAGCTTCACATCCTTGTTCGCTCCCCAGATGATATTAAGTTCCTTCCTCACATATCTAAGAATGCTCCAAGGGCAGTCATCATATGGTCTTCTCCGTAAAATGCCATGAGCATTAATGCTAATATTCCACCCCCTCTGTTCTGAGTGATGAACTTGGTGAGCCTACTCGCTCTTCAAGCAATGGACAGAGTGAGGCTCCTCTGAGCATAGTGCAGAGCAGGAACCCGTATCATGAGATGAGGGAATCTCAAAGCGAATGAATCCTGAGCTCTTTTATTGTGCGACTTAAATGTCATGTTCACGTTCCATTCCTTTCCTATGCTCACAAACAAGTATTTAATTTGTCTTAAAGTGATATGGAAGAAAATGTATTCCTAGAGTGGAAGGAAATTTCCACCACATTCCTGATGTGGCCAAGACTTAATTTATCACCACAGAAAACTTCTACCTCCTGCTTGCTTGAAAGAATCTTGTGTTAGCAGCTGTCCTTAACCTCGTCTTAAGGAACTACTTCAAAATAATTGCTTCAAGAATGAGAAAATGCAGCATTCTGATCTGATCTACAGGAAAAGTGGTTTTCTGTCTTTTTTTTTTTTTTTTTTCTTTGAACCTTACAGGTAGCTGAATATTCAGTCACACCCTACCCAGTGATGTTGAAGCTAATGGCTACTGAAATACCTATCATCAGCTTAGAGGAGGATTCTTTCACAGTAGAGATTCAGGGCACCATGGAGGTGTTTGCTGTTCTGCCAGACTCAACTACCCAGTCATTGTTTACAATGAACATAGTAAGTACAATGAACAAGGTGACGTTTAACTCAAGGTTAAATATGTTTGTTCACTCCTCCTGTTAAAGCTCTGTACAAGAAACTGACAGATTTCTAGTACTTAAACATGCAAATTCCCCGTAGTCACAGGTAGTGCCTATATGGCCCCACCTAACCTACAGGACATTTCTATAGTGAAGAACATTTTCCTACAGATGGACAAAAATCCAAACATAGAGCAAGTCTGATTAAGTAAAGTTTTGTTCTCTGGAATGACAGTTCTGCAGGCATGAGTCATGCCTCTTGGTGACTTGTTCATTTAATTGAAAATTACTTTGATTAGTGAAATCTCATTACCTACATTTCAGCTCTTGTCAGTGCCATTCAGATAAGCAGACATTTACTGTGTGCAGCCTTGCATGGGCCATGGGCTAGGGAGAAAGTTCCATCTATATGAAACAGCTTCTGTACGTAACTGGGGAGATGGTATTTCTGTATTTGTGACTAATTCACAGCAAGGGTCCTGTTTTTCTTGTGTCTGATAACCCATGTTTTCTTTCTTCTGCAGGCAGCCAACACCAGCATTGCTCTGAATATATTTGACCAGAAATTGATGGGCTCACTATGTTTGAACAGGTAATTCAGCCTGGGATGGAAAGGATTTCCAGCCATTTGGAAGCATTAGCAATCCCAACATCAGCAGTTTAGGCAGATGATCAGATAACCATAGTTCAATGAACGCGTTTCCCTGGTGAGTTCATCTGCATCATTCTCTAATCCTCTATGTGGCTGCACTTGTACAGTTTAGAGGAGTCAGGAAGCTTCTCTGTGACAACTGCCACAGTCCCCAAGGAATACCAACCAGCTGTGGATTGCCACAAGGCAGTGGTCTTGTTGGACTTCTCTGCTCCTGAACATCTACTCTCCCCTCTGAGCTAGCTAAATTAAGTATGCAGGGCAGTGCTGATGATCATGAATCATTTGAGAGCTTCCCTCTTCCCTTTCCAGCTGCCAAGACGCAACTGCTTTCTAGCCCACCTGTGCCACTAGGAAAGTGCAGAGGGGTCCAGGACACAGTAAAGGATCTGGACACCTGTGGTTCCCCTACACTGATATTCTTATAGCAGATGTTCTCCAGCTGAGGCACTGCAACTCCCAAGGGTCTGAAAGCTGGAGGCCAGAGGCTTGGGCATTTACACATCTAACATGTCATATTTTATAGAGAGAAGCTCTGTATATCAGGACCTTACAGCTGGGAATTGGGACCCTGATTTCATAAAAGTCCCTTGGGAAGACAGTTATAGCGTTAAGAATATGCAGAGTTCATCAGGGCACATAGGCACTACAAATTCAAGAAGGATAGTGCTGTTAGCACTTTTTGCAGCAACATTCAGAGAGGAAAATCTAGAGCGTGCTGACAGCTGGGATGCTGGTTCTGTGGAAACTCAGAAATCATATTTTGAATACATGTTGGGATACTTGAATATGTACTGAGTAAGTATTTGAATTTGGAAACAGAGACATTAGCAATGCAGCCATCAGCAGCAGTACCATACAATTAAAATAATTTTTCCTCCCACCCTGGTAAGGCTCACATCAAAGCATCATGTAGATGTACCAAAATCCTTGCAAAATATCTGAGAGCCTGCAAGCCCTTGATGCTACCCCCGGTAAAGTCAGTTGTCAGTAGGGTTTCCAAAACACAGCAGAGAGGGAGAAGCACACTCACATTGCTGGCTACAGCCCTTCTAGCATACTCTTTTGCATGCATGCTCAGCAACACACCAAGAAAACCAACTCTTTCTCTACGAAGCCATATGCATTGTGTAAAAGATATCGCTTCCAAAGTCTCTTTACAGATGTTTCTTAAGGCCTGGAGCTCTACAGCAGTGACTGTACATGACTAGAATAATGTGTGTTTATCCTTTCTAGTGACTCATCTTGTTTCACTTCTTTCCTTCAGGCTCCAGTTCTCCCTAGCCCACTCCAATGTTGGCTTTTTTGAGGTAAGCAGGTAGTTTAAGCCCATAGGAAATGCAAACCAGGAATATCAGTGATACCTTGTCTAAGGAGTAAGCAGTTAATTTTATTTGTATTTCTAAATAATTTGGCCTCATTCCTGCGTGGCTCTTTTCCTGTCTTCTGGCAGCCGCCTCTCTGCCGTGGACTTAAAAGTATATTCCTTGGGGCAAGTTAGTGCTCTGAAAATGCGGTACTCTGTAGTTTCCCTGACTGGTGTATCGTACTTCATCAGTAAGCAGAGACATCTCTCAAATCACAACGGTGAAACGCACAGCAGTAACCTGAACACGGAGCAGTGTGCTGTCTAAGCGACCACAAGCACGACTGAGGCAGAGGCACTGCATGTGGTGCACCAGTGCTCATCACAGATGCTCAGAATTACAGCAGGGGATGGGAGCCAAAATACTAGTCTCAGATGCCTGAAATAGTGCAGCTGTAGCCTTGCAGGGGAAAACCCTGCCTCCGCAGAGAGCCGTTTAATTCTGAGTACAGTCAATCAGTTCTGAGTAGCTGAGGAGAAAGGATTAAAACTGTTTTGGTCCTGCTTTGCTATTGGTGATCAATTATCTCACAAATAAAGGAAATAGACTGTTTTAAATGAAAATGTTGTCCAAGCATGATCAGAGCCATTTGCATTTTGCATCTTGCTTCCTTTGCATCATTCCAAAGGCTTAAGAACCAAAGGTCTCTTTAGCTTACGACTCTTCTGGGCAAACGAGAGCTGAAAGTTGAACATGAGCATACGAACTCCACCCAGGATTAGGGCACAGCAGTTCTACTGCTATCAGGAAGTGATGCCTAACTCATCTGTCTTTTCTTGTCTGTGGCAGATCTCGCTTCTGGAAAACATCCTGTCTTACATTTTACAGACAGAAGTAATTCCATCAGCTAATGGTAAGGCTGTATTTCAAAGCATCAACTAAAAACTTCCAGCAGAGTGGGTGATTCTAGGAACTTCTGCCGACTTTCTGCTTAAGTTTCCAGTTCCCATTAACTTGAGTGGGAAATGACCATCAGCCAGTAAGCAATGGAAGGGCAACGTTGGTCTGTAGGGGTGTAAGTGCCCCCTCTCGCTGGCACTGTTCTGCAAAAAGGGCGAAAAGGGCTTGGAAACTCATAATTCATCTGCCTCTGCCTCACTCAAGGTGGCCCTGGTGCATCAGTGAGAAGATGTCCCTCTAGTCTGCACACCTGCCTGAGGCCACTGTGTGTGAAATGTATTCCTCTTTATTAGACCAGCACAGGGCTTCTGCCTCTCACAAATCTTCTTTAAGGCCCCAGAGGGAGACATAGCTTTGCACCAGCCCTCTGTGCCGGGATGACCTTCACCTTCCTTAATTAATGGAGACAAATGGGAACAGGTTCTAATGATGCTAGAGCTGTAATAACAATCCCCCAGGTCACTAGGGACAAATCACTGAGTCTGTAATGTGTTGAACATGAAGTGCCTTGGTTTGGCTGCAAACACACTGCCAAGAGAAAAGCATCTGTAATTCTCTTTCCCCACCAGTAAATGAGCATCTTGTCTACCTCCCTGGGTTGCTTGTGAAAACTAAGAGGTTAATTGTTGTAAATGACATAAAAATAAATCTTGGATAAACAGGATTGTTGAAGGGCAGGTATTTATTATCTTTCCAATGCATACCTAAATCATTGTGCTTGTCTTATTTTTAAGCTAAACTGTCAAAAGGACTCCCTCTTCCCAACCTGGCCAATGTTACCCTGAGGAGACCTCACATTACAATTGTACAGGTGAGATTTTGACACTGTTATGAAAAGGTTATTCCTCCTTCTTTTTTTTTTTTTTTTCTAGTTGGCTAGGCATTTATTCATCTTCTGTTTGTATAAGAAACTTGATGGATTTCAGATAGTTAAGCAGTAAAAAGCCCCAAGTTTAAAATGATACCTGTAATAATGGTAAAATCTTATTAGAAACAAACTTCTCTTTCTTTGAGAGGAAAAGCTAGAACTGAATTAAATACATAACCACTGAGTGATCACACAGCTTGGTTAGCCTTGCGAGTTGCAAGTCAGTGTGAGAACAGTTTTACCTTTAAAATTTTGTTCAAGTTTGGCCAACCAAATCACATTAGAGTTATCGCTATCCCA